AAATAAGTTATATTTATAATTGAATATATATTAAAAATGTATATAATTTTATTTTGTATTGATAAATTAATGAAAATAATCATATCAATCATTGAGGCCATTTATTTATTTTTAAATGGAAAAATTAAAATTATTAAAAATAATACAATTTTATGGAACGATTTTTAAAAAAAAATGAATTAGATGAGATAGATTTAAGGATAATTAGTAATGTTAGGCATTCTATTACATGTATTTTTTTAATTTAATTAAAACTTCTAAATAAAAATAAATGATACTGTATATTTTAATTCTCAATCATGAAATTTTTATTATATTAAATATAAATGAGATTAAAAAATACATAATTGATTTAAATTAGGAAAAATTTCCAAAATAAATTACTAATTTACTTTTTGAAAATAAATTATAATTTTTTATTACTATAAAAAATTTTATATATTTTTTTAGTGTCTTAAAAAAATAACATTATCTTTATCCTATATGGTAACCCAATTCAAACATGAGACGAATAAAGTCCTTATTTTAGATCTCTTTAAAAAAGATTTTATATTAACATTTATATAATTTTTTCAAGTTATATTCTTAAAAATTTATTGTAAAAAGTCTATTTATAAAAATATAATAATTTTTTTGGAGATCCATCTCTAAAATATTTTAACTTTTTATTAAAAAATATTATTATTATTTTTTAAAAAAGTCTCACTTTAATTTTTTTTAAAACCTAATAATTTGGTTGGCCGACTTTAATATTAATTGTTTTTTACTCATTACAAAAATATTTCATGTTTTTTGGTAAAAATATTTCATTTTTACAAATGCATAAACATTTTTTTTATTAACAAGCATATGAATTAATTAGCGCAAAATTGTTTCTACTTAACTGTAGTCTAAATTATTGTGTTTGCAATAATGATACGTGTGGTTTAAAGTTTAAACTAAATATTATATATATTCCATAAAAAAAATTCTTAAATAAGATTAGATACTTGTCTCAATGGGTAATTTCTCACATGTTTAGCGCAAGGGTCTCCATACAACCCCACCTTATCCCTTGTCCCCTTCTTTTTATGTTAATCCATTCTGACCCTTTTTTTCTTTCTCATCTGATACCATAAATTTAACATTTTATTTTGTTAAAAAAAATATAGTCAGTTGACAAATACCAAAGGAATACATTGAGTCTTACACGTCTTCTTTTTCTTTTATGTTTTTTAGTTTATATTATTTGAATATGAATTCTTATCTGAAAGTATGAGTGAAAACTCCTAGAATATATATATATAAAAGTAATTAGTGAGGTTTTTGTGATATTTAATTTAGATTTCTGACATTCATTATTTAGTGATTTGAAAGAATGGTGGATAGTTGTGCTGACAATTGTTGGGAGAGTCAGTTGTGAGTTAAATTGATCCTATTCCATTCCCACTATGTATGTATATTTGTTTCCCTCGTGCGTTGTAACAAAGCCAGGTATTGTGGATCACACACCAACAGAATCACTTCAAATCGACCCTTAATGGCCTCACACGTTCTGGATTAAAGATTCAAATTTTAAAAATCTTTCTATATTTTTATGGTGCATAAGAACATAATATATATATAACTTAATTATTTTTCAAAATTATCAAATGATTTATCAGCCTGTTGAGCCAACCTAAGGGGAAGACTTTCATTAAAGTCTATTAAATAAATAAATAAATAAAAGTGAGAAAATTTAGATTTGATCATTATTGTATCTATGTAATCTTTTTAATAGATTAAAAAACAAAAAATTAAACTTAAATATGTTTTTCTCTCTTATATGTCATAATTATGTAATTTTAATCTCACAAATTTTAATTGAATAATTTTAGTTCTTCAAACATTATTATTGTATAATTTTGATTCCTAAAATTTTAATTAAGATAATTTTTATCCTTCAAGTATCATAATTAAATAATTTTAATATCTCAAATATTATAATTATATAATTTTTTTTTACATATTTAAGTTATATATATTACAATTTTCATTCATGTATTAGATGAAATATATTTATTATTACTAACATTAAAAAAAAAAATATATATATATATATATATATATCTTAAATAAGTTAAAAATTATAATTATAATATTTGAACAACTAAAATTGTATGATTGTGATAATTAAAGCACAAAATTTTTCAGTTAAAATTCTTCAATTAAAATTTATATAAAAAATTGAAATTTATAAATTTATTGAAAGAAAATTTTGTCTTATTTTAATATTTTATTACAAAATATGTTTTTAAAAGAGTTATAATCACAAATGTTATATTAAACTTCATTTTTATAAAACTTAATATATTTACTGGGTTTAATGACTATCCATTAATAGTGTAAAATAGATTTATAATATCAACCAATCAAATATTAGTATTGTTATGACTTTATTTAGTTATTTATTATAAAAGTTAATAACTTATCCCAAATTGGTGGTTTGTAATTAGAAGGAAGACAAGACTTAGGTATGATTCTTTAGATACCATCTGGTGTGCTTTCTAATTAAAGTTAGAGTTTTACCTTGATAGTATATGTAATTGTATATTAATAAGACTTGCATTAAATATAAGTACATAATATCAAGATAAAACTCGAACTTTGATTAGTAAATAACACCAATTACACCTAATGAATTGTACCTAAATTTTATTGTTAGGTGAAAGTAAAATTATTTTATATTATTAATATATCACCTGATTTCTTATATTTTATTTTTACTTTGATTTTAATGTTAAAATATCACAAAACAAGTTTTTGAACATTCTAGTAGGCTAGATTAGACTTTTTGTAACACTTATGTTTTAATATGTCTATTTTATGTAAGTTGTGTTGTGTGTTAGGTTCATGAGTCAGCGAAAGAAAGGTATTACAGGGGTTCCTTTAAGTTTTGGGTTCATAACTCAAGTTTTTATAAATTTAGAAAGAAAGTCTAGTGAGAAATTCTTCGAGTGAGCAAATCTTCTTTCTTTCTTCTTTGGCTGAGAACCTTTTTTCTCCTCTCTTATAGCCAATCAAAGTTGTTGAATTGAGGATTCAAAGTTGGTGCCTCAGAGGGTTTGGTTCAGAGTTGAACAAAGACGTTTCTTCCTATTCTCCTCTTGAGGGTTTGGTTCTAAGCAATAAGGGAAGTTGGACTTCAAAATGAGTTGTTTTGCTGCTTATTGATTTGTGAAGCTGAATGTTGTTTAATTCCCTAAAAATTCATGACAATATTGGTTAAGTTTGAGAAGAATGCATGTTGGAATTGGGAGTCTTAGTATTCTTGGTGGAGAAGGAAATGTTGGATGATCGGTTTGGTGTGTTGTTGCATGTCTTCTTTTATTAAATTTATGAGTTGCATGTTATTTATGACTGAAAGATTACAAGCTTGCAAGCATGTATTATTTGTATGGATTGAGAGGATTTGAAGTTGTTCTTAAAGCATGCATGTTTTCTAGGTTTGGTCGCTTATAATGCCTTGGTCCAAGTGAGTATGGATGATTGTTCAAATATGTTTTTTGACTTTGATTGCTTAGAGTAAGTTTTGATCACTTAGAGTGAGCTATTGGTCACTCTGAGGGAATGGTCTGGTAGCTTTAAACTAATTGTTGGTAGCTCCAAACTAGATGTTGATAGCTTCGAACTATATATTAATAGCTTTGACTTACATGTTAGTAGTTTCAAACTAGTTGTTGGTAGCTCTAAATTAGGTGTTGGTGGCTCTGAATAGTTCTAAACTAGTTGTTAGTAACTCTAAGTTATGTATTGATTGTTTACATAATATATGATGAGAATTGAATGTAATTCATTATATATTTTAACATATTTATCTTTAATAACCATGTTAATCCAATATAAATCACTAAGGTCATGTAGTAATTGTGACCAAAAGGTAATGGAATTCTTATCAAATACGAAATGCTAATTAAATAATAATTTATTACAATTCATTCAAAATAGGTCTGAAAACGATGATGCTGCTTACTATTTGTATGGATCAATATATGTATTTTTAAATGGACTAGTAACGAGCCCGAGAAATTGAACTGACGGGCCAAGCCCAAAATTTTCTTCGGTCCATAATAACCAACACCTAGATTAATTTTTTCCCTTCTTTAGAAGTAAATATAACTACATCAAATATTACCATTTTGGCACTTATAATAAAATTGTAGTTTTTTAACTAACTGGGTCAGCATAAATTTATAGTTTACTAACTGTGAACTCATTACTCTCTCCTTGTATTGTTCCATGCCTTAATATTATTTGAAACAGACTTTTTAAATTTATTTATTACGTATATTTTACATAATAAAAAGATGTTTTCATTATCCAATATGTCACCTATTATCTTTCATCCAACACTTTCTAACATATACCAAAGATTTTCTTTTAAGAAAAAAGTGTAATGAAATTTATATAACCTTCGATAACCCAAAAATAATAATATAATAACAAGATATGATTTTCATGATATAATTCAGAATAAGGTTTGGATGATTATCATTGGAAATAGAAAGTAGAGTTGATTCGCATAGTTAATGTTAAAATTTTAAGCAAACGAGTATGTATTTTGACAACTTAACCATTATATCGGACTTGCAATATAATCAACATGTGCAAATGGGTGAGCAGTGAACACACATGATAAAGATATACATAAAAAAAAACAAGGTGGAGACAGTTTGTTTTTTTTCTTGCTTGAAGTCAAGCTCACTCTGTAAACCAAACACGGTAAAGATAATAACGATAACAACCAATCAACTGAATCAAGTACACAGGTTTGTCCTGAAATCAACTATTATAACTATTGTAATTGTAATAAGTAAATTAATTAAAGGTAATAAGACACTTAATCACTTTGAAATTGTATTTTACTTTTCATTTTTTGTTATAATTTTATAATTCCTATTTACACTATCATCTGGTATATATATAAAAAATAAAGTATAATTTAAAATTAGAAAGTTGAAAATGAAAATTTCATAATTGTTTTCCCAATGGTTAGTTTTGGGAATTCACCGGTTTCACGGTTCTCTCATAACTTCCCAAAATGGTGATAACGAAAACTTGAAAATCAATTCGCTCTAGGCAGTTCGAGAGAGAAGAGGATGAGTGAGATTCTTCTTCTTCTCCTCTAATCTGAAGCTAACAGTGAGGAATTAGAATTGATGATTTCCCTAAACTCGATTCACCTTATGATTTGACATTTCTACCCTCCGATTTTGAATGGCCGATCACTCAGACTCTTCTCCCCTGGTTCCTCCCCTTCCCCTCGCTCACCCTTCCGAGATCGACCTCGAAGCCGGTCCCTCCGAGCAAATCCAATGCCGAATTTGTCTCGAAACTGATGGTAATTCATTTCACTCTTTTTTTGCTTTTCAATTTTCGTTTACAGGTTAGGGCAAGTGAAATCCATTTTCCAATTTTACTTGTTCGCTTTATTCAATTCACTTTATTTGTCGGTTTATAAAGTCCTCGGTAACTTCAACTGTGAAGTTGAGGATTAGAAGCACGTTATTGGGGAAGCTTTGCTGATTTTGGTTCAATTGTACGTATAATTCGAAAGGTTCAACACTATCCGGATCATTTGATTGGAATTTGGAATTTGGGCTTAGCATTGTTTATTTTTTAGCAATTATGTGTATAGTTGCTCTTGGGGTTCTTATTATTCCATGTGTAGGGTATTGCAGATACGTTACGGCTGCGTATGTATGTAGGGTTCATAATTGAATGTTGATCCTCGACATATGGGTGTATCATGATATATTTAATCAGTTGCCATCCTTTTTTTTTTATTCAGGTAGAGATTTCATAGCTCCTTGTAAGTGCAAAGGTACATCAAAATATGTACATCGAGAATGCTTGGATCATTGGCGAGCAATTAAGGTAATGATTCATGGTTTATAACATACTATAACAACTTTACAAGTGATGATTATTCATGATTTATAGTAAGCAGCAACTGTATATGTAAAAAACTGACTGACAAGTGCGGCCATTTTTGGTGGTTGATAAACCTTTTGTTCTGCTAATTAATTAATCAATGATCTATTTTTTCATTTTATTATGATCTCATTTGTCATCTCATAATATTTTCTAATCTGTGTCTAGTAGACTGTAGTTTACTTGGTAGCATTTCATACCATTTCATAGGATTTCTGTTGGTTCTTACCTTTCGGTTATTTCTGTCTCTTGGCCACCCATTACCCATTTCAGTGATAAAATGGTTTCACATGTTTGCCAATTTTATCGTAGGCAGTTTGAGTTTGCAGCTTTATTTTTTGTAACATGTTTTCCTTACTTGTGGGTCTCTTTGCCATTGACATATTTTGGTCTACTAGCTTTATTTAGTCTCCCATTCTATTCTTCCTTTTCTTTAATGATAATATGATATTGTAATCAGTTAGTGTTGAGGTACAAACAAAGTCCCATGTCATTAGATCATGAAGAGAAATAAAAGTTTATAAAGTACACATAGTCTCCATTGGTAGGATACCTTTAGGCAGATGATCAAAAGCAAAATCATAAGAGTTTAGGCCCAAAGTGAACAATATCATACTAATGTGAAGACATACACGTGTGTGTGAATGTTTGATGCCCAACAGTGGTATCAGAGTTGATGGTTTCAACCAAGTGACTAGCTCAAAGTCTCAAATGAGTATTTGACAATGGGAGGTAGTGAATCCAAGTGTAGGATCCCTTGTGTCGAAAGTCTTCTTAGTGGTTTGAGATCAAGTAACTTGTTCTGTTGATGTGAGCTAACGTGATGCAAGTATCTAGAGCTAGTAGGTGTGGCTAAAACTCTAAGGGCCATCATTGAATACATAGATGGAAAAATGATTTCAGTTGAAGGGGAGGGTTAGACCATGGTTCTTTGTTTGAGGGGAGGTTTGTTGGGTACAAAGTTCCACATCATTGGATCATGAGAAGAAATAAAAGTTTATAAAACATATAGAATCTCCATTGGTATGAGGCCTTTTGGGAGATGATTAAGACAATATCATATCAATGTGAAGACATGGGTATGTGTGAACCCCCGATGCCCAATAGTTAGTTATCTTTAAAATGAGTTTTTGTGACTTTATCTGGCGACTTGATGGAAAGAATCAAAGATCATGAGCTAATTTTTTTTTTGGAAAAAAAATTCCTCTAATGTGCGTGGTGCATTGTGAATCATAAAGTATTGAGTTAATACTTAATAACCACTAATGGAGAAACCCTTAGATATTATGTGTTATGAGGAGTGCTAGCGACACTCTTTCTTAACACTCACTAATACTTTCTTTGCTATTGGTTGAAATTTATTGAAAATCACAAATTTTGTGAGTCCCGCATCTCATTTAATGAGTCTCTCTCTTGACATAGTGGTAGGACCTACCAAAATTTGTAATTTTCAACCAATAATAAGGAGAGTATTATGAAAAGATTGTTAAAGCGAGTGTTGCTAGCATTTTTCTATGTAACAATATTCTGTACTTTTATGATGTGCAAACCTAAACCTTAGTCTTTAAATTGTGTTCCAATTTTGAGTGGCAGGTATCTTCCTGTACTCTACAGTTTCATGTGTAAAATAGTGTACTTTGCAGTGCTCGACCTAATATATATGGGTATTACTTAACCTTTTTTGCAGGAAGGGTTTGCCTTTGCTCACTGTACTACGTGCAAGGCTCCTTATCATTTGCGTGTTCATGTTGCTGCTGATAGGAAATGGCGTACACTGAAATTTCGGTTTTTTGTCACCAGAGACATTTTGTTTATTTTCCTGTCTGTCCAACTTGTAGGTGAATTGTTTCCATTCATCTGGCTATCTGTGTACTTATCCATTTGTACTTTATGAATGCATATAGGTCATCTGATTCTGCTCCTTGTTACCTTGTATGCAGGTCATCTCTTCACTGGCATATTTGGTTTATCTAATAGATGGTTACCAGCAGTATTGGCTCCGTCTTCTCTGGGGTTTTGATAGTGAACTGAGCTTTTACTACATATGTGGTAAATTTGATTAACTTAAACTGTGTCATCGAAATGCTTGTACAATATTATTTCATGCAAATTCTTTTTTTCCTCCATTGCATTGAGATAAAGTTTCTTCGTTCCACATTTAAAAGGATACTGGTTCTGGTGTTGATTTTTTCTAATGCAGGAGCTCTATTGTTTTTCGCATTGCTTGGCCTTTCTGGGTGCTTCATTACTTGTTATGATCGGAGAGTTCGCAATGATTTAGCTCAGCCTTGTAGAGAATTATGTCTTTGTTGCTGTCAACCTGGGTAATAACCCTGAATTTGTGTTCACAAGCCTTTGACATTGTCAGAACACATAATGAAACTCTTAGCATCTGCATGGGGCATCATTATAATGGTTTTCTTGCTTAATTGTAGGATGCCACAACCTATGCCTGGAGTGTAATATATAAGATTTAATTTACACTATATTGGAGACCCTTCTTTTAACAGATTTTTTTTCTCTTTTCAAATACATAAAATTCAGTTGTTAAATTATTCATGCTTGGGTGCTTGCATATGCTAAACAGAAAAAGAAGGCTGTGTTGTGTTATTTATGAAGTAGGTTATATTAGCACCAAGTTTGTGATTCGTGACCGAGGTTGATTTTTGTTTTGTATGATGTTGCAGAGTTTGTGCAGACTGTCATTTGCCAGGCACTCTTTGTATGTGGACTGATTGCACCACATGCTTTGAGAGTTGTGGCACCATGGCAACTGAATGCGGTGGTTGTTTGGGAGGTGCTGGTGAAGCAGGGCTACCATTATTATTTATAATGGCTTTGATTGTTTTGGGTCTTTTTACTGTAATTGGGATATTCTACAGTGTATTGGTGGCTACTATGGTAGGTCAACGAATATGGCAACGACATTATCACATACTTGCAAAAAGGATGCTAACAAAGGTGTGGTTGGTTTACTTTCTCATCTTTTGTGCTTTTGGTGCATTGCTTATGAGCTGTCAATTTTTGTTGCAATTTTTAGCTGACATATATGCTATTAGCCCATTTAGCCATCAATTGGTTTATTTTTATAGCATTTAAGTCCTATATTATCTTTCCAGAAATATTTACTAGGGAAGGAATAGCCAAGAATATCAACCATGATTTTTTCTTTTTTCTTTTTAATTGACTTTGGATTTTAGATTCTCTTTCACTAGAGCCATATTGACTGTGGAATTTCATGATGGTTTTGCAAAAGTAAATGCATTTTAACTACCAGCTTACCTTTACATAACATGAATTGTTTTTGATGTAGCTGTTTTGATGAACTTCAAAAGGATTCTTTAGTCTAGTAAATGATTGACAGAGAACTGGAATCATAAGTACTGGCAAACTCTCGTTATGCATCCTTGCTACTGAATTGATACCATTATACAGATGTGGGTTTTTAATTTTGTATATAAACTCGGCCAGAAAAAGTAAAAGAGATATAGAAGACTCTTTGAGGGGTCTACTTTCTCCTTCCCAAACTCTTGCTCTGTACAGTCTCCCTCACCCCTTCTCCCAATTCCTCTGTCAAGTGTCAAACCAAAACTCCTTTGTCCCACCTGCTGCGTGTGCAGCTCTTGTGTAATTTAGCTGGGGTAGTGTGCTGGGAAGCACTGATATGATAGAAAGGCTTCCATACTGGTCTCAGACATGTCTTTTACATGGATACTCTGGCAACACGGTTAGATAAGTGTCAATGTCGATCAGCAACCCCTCTTGTCTCTGTAGTAGGATGTTCTGTGCAGCCAAAATCTGGGCCATTTGTCATATTTTCTCTCTTATGCAATAACCAATCAACAGTGAAGATTTGGTTGGATTTTGGCTGCACACAAAATTGGCTGGAGAGGATGTGATTTGACTCAGTTTTGAGATTTGGATTTGATGAGTCTTCGGTCTTTACTGTTTGGGAGTTGCACTGAATTAGTTGGTGAATTTTACCATCTGGGTTTTTCATTCAGTGCTAACCGAGCCACCAGGTTTTTAAGAGTTTTGTTGGAGATATTCTCTCTCTTCCTTTTGTTTGTCTGATAGGATAAGTGTTTTGGATTTGATGTGGGGTGTGAGGGGTATTGGTGAGGCATCTTTGGGCTTACCTTTGGCGTGGCACACAATCAGTTTGAGATAACTTATAAATACCAATAGTCTCATGTATTACTGCATGTTTTACGTAAACATGATGGTGCCCTGAAATATTCTGAGATCATCTTGAATTGTTGATTATGAAATTGTTATTACTTCTTATCATAGGAGTATGTGGTTGAAGACGTTGATGGAGAGCTGACTGGATCTGATTGGTCACCCCCATCTCTCCCACCTGAGCATGTTCAGCAGTTGAAAACATTGGGCCTACTATGAGTTTGAAAGATTCATCAGTCATCTACTTGATGACAAGAATGACAGTAGAGTTACATTGGCCCTCCCTGCGTTTTGGTAAGCTGGTCCATTTCATGAAGACCTGCAGTTAATTGAAAATTGTGTAATAACTGCTGAATTCAATTTGGCTGGAGTTGTACACTTTTGCTGAACCGGAATCCAATTGGGCGGGAGTTGTCCACTTTTGCTGAACCGCTGATATGTGGAATTTGTGAATGTCTGACCCGTCTACTTGTGTAAAGAAAATGGAAGAGGATTCTTTTAATGTCAATAATAGGTTACAGGTACATCGCCATTTCTTTTCCTTGATATGATGCTGCTTGGCTAGTCATGTTTTATTCGTTGCTTTTCGCAGTTTTGAGTTTTGATTTGGATACTTTACTTATCAAAGATTTCCAGCAGTAGAATTTTATTTTTACAGTTGCCCCGTTATACAAGCATATTATCTGGAGTAAGGAAAAAATATTTGATCCCGCGTTTGTTCCTGGTCTTAGTTTTGTCTTCACTCTCATTTAGTTTTTTAACTTATTTTTTAGTTTCAACGTTTTTGTTTCTGCTAAATCTGTTGCCCCGTAATGGAAGAGCATCTAACTGACATTAACTGAGTCTTGAGTTGATAATTAAGCATCCCAAAACGCTGTTGGTTTGAACAAAGAGGATTAAATCGATACTTTTGCATAAAGAAGAAATATAGTTTGAGTATCTTCTTAGGATTCTTATTACAATCTTACAGTATCTTAGATTATATCTGATGATTTGTTTTCCCTATTTTCTTGGTTTCCATATTTCTTAATATCTCATGAATTGTTTTCTTAACATTTTATGTTTTCATAAACATGTCAGCACGCTGTTGTAATAAATCCCATCTTATCAAATTCCATATCAATCTCATAATATTTAGTCTGTTAATTTTCATTTTCCTTCTACCTAAAACCATATTATTTCAACAGAGTTCATTCTTTCCCATTTTGTTGAATAGGTTTATCATTCTTTGTTATTCTTCTTAACTCCTATTCATTGTTATTCTTTTTCTTTTTTCTATTCATCTGATTTACTTTTGCCTGAAAAAGCAGCAAAAACCATTCTTGCATTTCATTTTTCTAAAAATAGGGAATAACTATATCACAAAATGGTTTGAACTCATACAAGCCGTGTAAACGGTGGTTCATGAATCATGATGTGACTTAGAGAGTTTGTTCTTGGACGTTGCCCCTTGAAAAGGCATTAATGGCGCTTTGTGCGGATGAAGCCGTGAAATGGTGGAAGAGCAACAAAATGGGGGTCTAATGATTTTTGTTTTTGTGCGAGCGCAGCGCAAAGCTATCAATTGGCTCTCTTACTTTAAGATGTTACTATAGTTTAGTATTTTTTTTTTTTAATTTAAAGGATAGGTTTTAAGGGGTTCAATCGCTAATTTTTACTTAACTGTGTGAATGTCACATCAATGTATTTCTATTAAGATAACAAATCTGACAAGAATACAACGTTTGTCACGAAAAAAATGTTTTTTTTTTCTTTAACAGCATAAGAATTATATCCGGTTCCCCTTAATAATAAAATATTTATAATACAATGGGTAATTACATTATTGAATAGTTTCAATATCAAGGGATATAAATTTTCATCCAAGAATGAACATTTATATTAACCCTTCTTTTACCATATTGAATATTAATGGAAGGATAAAAAGATAATAACTTCCTAATTTAGTGTAAAGTCATTTCACCGTTAGAAATATCCTCTCCATTTTATGGATTTGATTTACAATCAATTTATGCGTGACTCAATAATGATCTTAAATAAATTATGACATGTGAGTTATATGAGACATCTTAAAATAGTATAAACTTCTCATTCTCAAATTGTTATGATAATTGTCACAAAAGAAGTTTTAACTTGTAAAAAGTTATCATCCTCATCTCTATTGCATGCTCCACAATCCATGGGCCCTTCAGCTGGAAAAAAGGAAGTATCACAATTGCATTTGATGGCTTCAATCAGTTGGACCAAACAAAAGATTTAAAGAAAGATAAAAATTAAAATTAAAGTAATTTAAGTTTTAAAAATTTTAAATTCTTTAAATTTCTAAAAAAATTTATCTAAACACATCATAATTTTTCATTCCTTCTCTTCCTACTACTCTACATAATCATAACTATTTGATGAACTTGCTCACCTGTTAAAACAATTCTTTAAAAAATTGGTAGCTTTTCAAAACAATTAATGTTGGACCATAATTTTTATAGCTTAAATTCTTAAGTTAAATTTATTGAGAAGTATATTCTTTGATTTTAGGAGTAGAAATAAAGAAGGGAAAGGGAAAATAAAAATTGAAGGTGCCTTAGGTAGTGTTTGACACGATTTAGTGTTGGGATCTTTTTCTTAAAATAAGTTCAGCCAAAAAGTAAATTTTAAAAAGTAACTTCTTTTTTACAAAGAAAATTAAATTAGTAAAATTTAATGTGATTTAAAAAAATTTTGCATTTGAAAACAAATTTTAGGAGTTAATTGAATACTTTAACTTGTGGATTAAACCGCTTAAAATATGAAAATTTAATAAATTTCGGTTATTTTCATAAGTTATAAATATTTTATGTTGTAGAAAAGGACGATTAATTCAATTATAAAATTTCAAAAATCACAATTTTGAGGATAGATTTTAATTATAATTCAATGAACATGTTTTTGTGTGTGGGTTAGTGTATATGTTCAAAATTATTATATTATTTTTTTTTTACAGAAGGGTTCTTGTTTAAATGAGTTTTCCTCGAGTAATAGTTTTCTATGGGTGTACTCCCAAGTAATACTAATAACAATAATTCAGTTTATAATAATATATTATTAAAGTCATATATTAAAATAAAATATTATTTTTTTATTTTATTATAATTATATATTACTGTATTATTATTATTATTATTATTATTATTATTATGCGATTAAACGGACTTGTGGTTGAGTCAAAATCTGATTTGGAACACGGATTTTTATTTGGATTGTCGTTTCAGAAAAATAGGCACATGTTTAATGTTGCATAGGTTAGGTCGTATATCATTTACCTACTTACAGTGACGCCTAATTATTATAAAATACCGCTAAACATGAAGGGATTATTATAAAAGAGAAGACCACACTGATTACACACTTTTTACGTTTATTACATTTTTTTATTTCTCTCTTTTGTTTTCATCGTTTACACAATTTTTGTTATTATTTTATTTATTATATCTCTTGCTTTTTTCTCTGTTATTTTCTTTTTTCTGTCTAAAATTACTATTTTTGTTATCACATGACATACTATATTTCTTTGTAGTCTTTGAGTTGAACATAATTATTTTTCTTTAATTTAAAATCTAAAAATAGGGGTCCCATTTTTTTGTTTCGAAAGATAATTATCCTCGTGAATAAAAAGACAGTCACAGGCTTTGACACGTGCGTGTCGGACATAAGTGCTTATTGTCTCCATACCGTGTATACAGTGACTCACCATTACACGTGTCCCACGTTCTCAAATTCATCACTTTCCTTATTCAATGGAGAAATTCTATGGTACCCATCTTATTTGAGAGGGTACCGGTACAGTTTTTTATATTTTATATTTTTAGTAATTTATTTAAATAATATTTATAATATTTTATCCTTTCAATTTTTAAATTATTTAGTCATTTTATTTTTATTTTATATATTCTAATTTATTTGTAATAATATTATTATATATTTAAATAGTTTAATTTTAATAATTTTTTAAGTATATTTTTATCTTTTCACTTAAAATTTTTGAATTTTTATATTTTAATTTTAATAATTTTTTAAGTATATTTTTTGTCTTTTTATCTTAAATTTTTGAATTTCTATATTGTAATTTTAATAACTTTTTATTTCTACTATTTATTAATTTTTTCTTTTTCTTTAATATTTTATAATATTATTGAAAACTTATAATTTTAATCTCTATAATTTTATCTTACTTTTTATTTTATAAGTATAATTTAGATTATTTATTTTATAATTAAATTAATTTTTTTAAAAAAAATTTATGAATTTACATAGAAAAATGTATTGAAACCCTTCCATCTTTGAGGGTACCGTAGCAACTCCCTTATAATATTATTGAAAACTTATAATTTTAATCTCTATAATTTTATCTTACTTTTTATTTTATAAGTATAATTTATATTATTTATTTTATAATTAAATTAATTTTTTTAAAAAAAAATTATGAATTTACATAGAAAAATGTATTGAAACCCTTCCATCTTTGAAGGTACCGTAGCAACTCCCTATTCAATGACCGACCACATGAATCAGATATTTTAACAATCATGTGAAACTCTTATTTAGATTATTACAACTATATTTTACATTTTTTAAATTTAACTTTTTTTTAATAGAAGAAAATGTACTTTTGAAAACGAAATTATTATTATTAATCGTAAAAACAATTACTAAATCTGTAAATAATGTCGTGTATAAAGCTGTGAATAATAATGGGAATCCTCCTATGATCTATTGAGGATCGGGATTATCATATATATATATATATATATATACATATATTTTTATATTAATGTGCTTTTAGACATATTTATAAAAGGCTTCTTTACTATTAGGAGACATCTATATATATATAAATTAATGTTTTTTATTTAAGTGATGTGAGACTTTACTTACATCTCAATAATTTTATGGCTCTACGTATTTCCTGCGAAAGTATTTGAAATTTAGAAAGAAGTCATATCATATGATATCACATATGACGTAGGCCACTAAAAAGTATATTAATGAATTTAATAATGGAAGCCTAACATGGGCAGCACCGTGGGTTGAGCCTTATCCAAAAATGTTGTAGTTGTAGTTGGCTACAATTATAAATAGCTTTTGGTTTGAAGAAAGTGTTTGAAGAGAAGAAACATAAGTAAACGATGTCTGACATTGCTATGTTGGTGGCTGAAGAATATGAGAGGAGGGTAAAGCAGTTTAAGAAGGGAAGTGGTAGTGCTATAGCTGTTGGAGATGCCAAATTCAACGTGCTTTCTTGTGCTTCCTCGTTACCTCTGAAGGAGAAGATTGAGGCTCAGAAGAAGGAACTTGTCAAGTGGGTTTGGGAACCCAAAACCCAATTTGCTATTGCTGCTTCTAATAGTTTCTTCTCTGCTTGAACAATTCATGCTTTTCCCCCTCATTATTTGCTTTATTATTTTCCTTTTCTAATTTATGTTTCCTTCTGTTACTGTGCAATGCCAATGTGCATACATATATCATATATATTTCCAATTGTAATTCTGTTCTCTCTTTAAAATCTCTCCTCACTCCTCACCCTTTTATATTTTCTAACTACAACTAAATTCTATTTCGGATACTCTCATTAAGCCCAATAACATTTATTAAAAAATACAAAAATTTTAATACACCTTACTACTAATTAAGATAGATTCATTGAAATTTATGATCTATCAAAATTTATGACCACTTCACAATTTAAGCTTAAATTGTAAAATATAGAAAGTTAGCTGGACAATGAACATAAGTACCCAGGTTGAAGCTGAAGAGCTGAATTATATAGGTGCTTATTTCGAAAGCATGATGTGCCTATTAGTTAGAATTCCTCTGTGCTGAAAATTGACTAAATTGTTTGTCTACGATTTCATATTTGGAAGAAAGAGCATAAATTGCCGGGCCTGGTAATCTGGCCCTTAACACTTTTGCTATTGTTTGTTGGGCCTTCACTCTTGTGGTATGCTCGAAAGATGTTGTTACACTTTCCTATTGTTTGTTGGGCCTTGACTCTTGTGGATGTCCAGAATTCATAGGGTTGGTCAATTTTTTTTTTTCTGCATAAAACTTGGAAGGTTTTAATTTCCATTTGAAATATTTGCAAATCGGATAACTTAATTTATCTTTTTCAAATACACCAACTAAAGAAATATTGAATTGTATCTAAACTCTAAAGTATAAATCAATTCAAATGTTTTCCCCTCAAATTCTTCGAATTTCATCAAGTTTTTTACTAATTCTTTTACTTCTAAACCTTGTAAAATATTTTATATCCAAAATGCATTATAAATATCTCAAAAAAATAGATTAAAAAAAATAATAATTTGAAAACTGTAGAATATAATAAATTTGCTTAATTTTAAAATAAGAAAACTTAATTAACTAAAAAGCTGAAAAGACCAAAACTACACATCACGACATAAATGTAATAAAACTTAATTGTTTTAAAAGTATACTTATAATTTGTTTAAACAAGAATGAAAAAACCTTTTTTTAAAAAAATACAAGTTTAAAACAATTTTTTTAAAATTTTCCTTTAATTCGAATGTTAAAAATTTTCATATCAATTATGTTTTTAGTTTCTATAATTTATCAAATGAGTGAATTTAGTTCGTGTAATTTAATATCTTAAAACAAATTCTCATACTTAAGAAAGAAAGAAAAATCTATCCAACACATAATTTACGGTCAGATTCCTAACTTGTGTTAAGTGACATAAATATGATGTAACACTGACATAAAAATAAGATTTGAAATATTCAATTTGGGATTTGATCTCACTACCATATACTTTATTACCACATTTAAAACTAAAAGTTTATATATATATATAACATGAATGTACAGGAGACTAAAAATACAAATACACGTATATGGTACCAAACAAATAATAATTTATACTTTTTAATACTATATATTTCAAATATAATTTAATTTTTTGATGCTTAATAATTTCTTATATAACTAAATTGTGTAGATTTTTATAACAAGTTTAAACTTAATATTTTTAGCACCAAGTCAATATGTTGGTGATATTTATATGGTCAGTCTAATATATTGTTAAACTTAAAGTAAATGTTAAAGTGAAATAATTTTTTTAATAAAAAATATTTAAATATATGAATCTTAAAAAAATAATTATATTTATATATTTATTTAAATATTAATCTTTTAGAGTAAATTTTTAAAAATATAAAAAAATAACTTTTAAGTTATGAATCTTGAAAAATTATATAATTATTATTATTATTTCTTTAACGAATCTAAAATAAAATTTTATTGATCTAATACTTAAACTGAATTGCATATTTAATAAATATTATATGTAAAATTGAATTTCGTGGTTAGAAATTTGATAATAGATTAAATATTTAACTAAATTCCATTAGTTTTAAAGTTATAAAAATTTAATTTGAGCAATAAAACTATAAAAATAACTATTAGAATTAGTTTAGTGATTTGGATGGGAAAGAGCTGAAGTAATTAAAAGTATGATGATTTAGATTTAATCTGCGACTACTTTTGTAATTTTTCTTATCTTTAAAAAAATAAAAACTATAAAAGCTAAAATTACATGCTTAATAAAGTGCACAAAATAAAAGGAAATTATAATTATGAGAAGGGATTCTTTTATTCCGGGAGCAAGTCTACCTAGACTTACTCCGTTTAATAATTCATGTTCTACATCAAATTTTAACTATTCAACCATTCAATTTAAAGTTCTTAATGCATAGATCAAATCTGCAAATTTTTAAAAAATTTGAAAATTATTTGATACTTCATTTAATTATATCAAATTGACGGATAATCATAAAATTATTTTATACATTTGTTTGAATTAATGAAATGAAGTATCAAATAATTTTTAAATTTTCTAAAAATTTACAGATTTAATTTATATATTAAGAACTTTAAATTGAAAGATTGGATCGTTGAAATTTGATGTAGAATATCAGTCATGAGTAAATCTAGGTATATATATATATATATATATATATATATATATATATTAGAAAGAAGAAGGAGTGGAAGAGTGGGTTGGTGGATACTCTACACTCAGCTTTTGCAAATCAATTATTCACTTTCAGCTACAAACGTCAAATCGATTGGTTGAGCTACCATTTCAACCACTGCCACCATAAAACACTTTACATACAAATATAAATCAATTTTAAAATAGTGTAAAAAAAAGTCAAATCCTTGTATAATGCATGTAATACGTACTAATATTTTCTAAATAATGAATAAATTAATGATGAGTCCTATTGCAAGTACAGATGCCATTATAGTTTCTAGTAATGGAAAACACAAGAAAAACCTATTACCGACTACCAACAACGAAATTCATACAATGATTACCCAATGATACTTCATTCATTTTCCACAAAATTCATTGTCCTCAAAAATGACAAGTTATAATTTTTTTTTATTGAAATAATATGCAGTACTTATTCGTAATTTATTGCCAGAAATTACATTTATATAATTTTTTTATATAAAATATAACAAAGAGTCAAATATATGAAAAGAGGAGCAGAACATGATATTATAGTTGATGTGATAGAAAATATTATGATAAAAATATTTATAAATAATATAAAGTATTTTGGAGGAGCGAAAATAATGAAAGTAAAATATATGGGGTAGGAAATGGAACTTGTGCCATAAAAAAAAAAATTATGAATGAGGTACAAAAATATTTGTGCAAACATGAAACATTATCCACCACTATCTTGAAGATAACCTACTACAAGTGTTGTGAATTGTAATTGGTTAATTGGGCAACCGTCCACGAAACAATGTCTAGAAATTAAAAGTCACATCAGAGACTATTGATGAGAACCTAATTGCAGGGCAGTGGGCGAGTGCCCCATTAACAGCTATGCTTTGATGCATCATCCCTTCTTATTCAATTCTCCCAACTTTTATTTTATTCTTAGTTCAAATTTATAAATTTTAGTAAATCTTGAAAAGAAAAAAAAAAACGTATTGGAAGGAGTGTGTTCCTAATCTATGTTTTTTTTTTCTTCATAATTTTACTTAAATGAAAAAGTGCCCTTAGAATTTACGAGATGTTTACCGGCATAACTTTAAAATAAACATTAAAAAGAATTGCTTCTAGAATCTTGTTCCGGCCACGGGGTGCGCTAGAGTTTTTCCTAGGTCAAGCTGCAAAGCCAGAGCATTCAAAAAGTGTAATCTGCCTCCTTAGTCCCTATATAAAGTCTCGTGTAATTTTCATCAATGTACAAAACTAAAGATCACTCTCTTCTCGTAAAATTTCATTTGTATGTGTTGTTTCAATCTTTTTTTACCTCATAAGGAATTGTCACCAACCTCTTGTGCCCACACACTTCAACAAAATGGTGTTGCCAAGAGAAAAAAGAAGCATCATTTGAGATCTCATATTGACTAGTGATATGACCATAATAGAGTACATAATTGAGAATAATCCTCCCCTAATAAGTTGATTTTGTAAAGTTGAGTTAGACCTAAACTCACATTCTAAGATGGTATTAGAATCTATCCTAATAATTATTGTAGAGCATATTAGACCACCCGCTATTAGCTCATTATTAGACCTCAAATGTCATATTCTACAATCTTCACACTTGAGATGTCCAATCGAGTTAAGCCAAAACCCAAATTCTAAAAGGCACTTTGTCGAAACAACTTATACCCTACTACTCCAAGAAGGTTACATGAACTTGATCTTCTCATTGCACTTAAAGGAATTAATTATATGTGAGAGAGAGAGAGGAGGCGAGAGATAGAGAAGAGAGTAGATTTTCAATAGGTAAAGAATGTAATTCATTAACACACCGAAAACAGAGTACAAGTCAGATTTATATAGAGCCAATTGAGATTGGTCTATAATAACCTAAATATCTATAATAACTGAAATTATCTATAATAACCGAAAATAACAATAAAGGAGTAAAACTATACTCCAATAGCCCCCCGCAAGCTCAAGTAGGATGAGGAGATTCAACTACTTGAAGCTTGGATCTAAGATCACAAAACCGCGAAGGTGAGAGAGCTTTGGTGAGCACATCAACACATTGATCAATAGCTGGAAGATGAACAACTTGAAGACACTTGGCAGCCACTTTCTCGGTCAGCAAGGGTTGCAAATTTTTGAGGAATTTGGGGGTTGACAAGATAATGGTGAAGGGGGTGACCCTTGATGACGGGTTCAACCTGTTGACACCAAAGAAGATAATTCTTGGTGTCAAGCTTTTCGGAGATGGTGTGAGAGAAGGTGAGAGACGGATGGGAGTTAGGGGGAGGATTCTTGGGCAGGACGGTATTGACTGGGTTGGCATGAATTGGTGGAGGAGGCGGTGGTGGTGGGGAAGAATTCATTGTGGAGGTAGATTCAGCCATAGGAAGATGTTGGTCGAGCGGAAACGGAGGAGAGAAGAAGAGGATCAAGAAGCTCTATGATACCATAAAGGAATTATATGTGAGAGAGAGAGAGGAGGCGATAGATAGAGAAGAGAGTAGATTTTCAATAGGTAAAGAATGTAATTCATTAACACATCGAAAACAGAGTACAAGTCAGATTTATATAGAGCGAATTGAGATTGGTCTATAATAACCTAAATATCTATAATAACTGAAATTATCTATAATAACCAAAAATAACAATAAAGGAGTAAAACTATACTCCAATAGCACTATGCAAAGTTATTCTAAAAATGATAAGTTTAATCAGTATGAGGGTTGAATTGCAACCCTTTAGAAAATCCCCCAACTTGAAACTTTGATCCCTTGACATTCATGAATTATCCACAAATGATTAACAAGTTTAGAAAGTTGGGTTTCTGAACTTCAAAAAAACTTTATATATTGAATAAAATGTAATGCAATTATAGAAGCTTAATACATGGTAGCACAAATAATTGAAGTAATGATAATAAGCTTTCTCATCAACATCCATTATGCAAAATTGTAGATATAATGAAATTTCTTTTCTATTACGTGAAAGTTAAGTAAGGAGAGATAAAACAATTCTCTTCATTATTTCTATTTTTATCAAAAATTTTTCTTTTTTCTTAAAAAATCTCAAATCTTACCTTCTTTGTTTCTATTTTTATCGAGAATCTAACCGATCAAGGTCGAGTTTTTTCACAAAACGAGTTATTTATACTCGCCCAGCCGGACTGTTGCCGACAATCACGAGTACTCGCCAAGTCGGAATCTAACCGATCAAGGTCGAGTTTTTTCACAAAACGAGTTATTTATACTCGCCCAGCCGGACTGTTGCCGACAATCACGAGTACTCGCCAAGTCGGAATCTAACCGATCAAGGTCGAGTTTTTTCACAAAACGAGTTATTTATACTCGCCCAGCCGGACTGTTGCCGACAATCACGAGTTCTTCGAGTTATTTATACTCGCCCAGCCGGACTTTTGCCGACAATCACGAGTTTGCCTACAAGTCAGAATCAATTTGAAAATAATTTGAAAATAATGATTTTTATTATTTGATGTTACCTCGTTAAAAAACCTTTGTAGCATAAAACCCTCGCAGCAGACTCCCATGCTTCCTCCACGAATTAACATCTGGGCACGAAAGTCCATTAGATGTTGACTAGGATCCTGTTTCCCGTTAAACGGTTCCAACTACTGATACGAAGCTGTTATTTGACAAACCGGACCTTAGATTGACGATCCGAACGGTCAGATTGAAGAACCTCACTTCCCAAACCTATAGTCCAAAAATCAGCCCGATCCAACGGTGAACGACTTCACACCGATTAAAACACAGTACCAGTCCTGTTTTGCGCTGGAAAACTTTCACCTACTGATATGAAGCTGTTTTCTCCCAAACCAGGCCTCCGGTTAATAATCCGAACGGTCAGAATGAAGTTCCACACTTCTGGAACCTACAGTCCAAAAATCAGCCCGATCCAACGGTGAACGACTTCACACCGATTAAAACACAGTACCAGTCCTGTTTTGCGCTGGAAAACTTTCACCTACTGATATGAAGCTGTTTTCTCCCAAACCAGGCCTCCGGTTAATAATCCGAACGGTCAGAATGAAGAACCACACTTCTGGAACCTACAGTCCAAAAATCAGCCCGATCCAACGGTGTAAGACCTCACACTGACGAAAACACAGAGCCCACTCTGTTTTTGTGCGGGAAACTTCCTCTCCTTCTCTCTCTCAGGGTCGCTCTCCTCTCTCAAGCCATTGATCAACGCCATCATCTCCTCCATGGTAGGGTGTTGTGGGTCGTGGTTGGATGTGCTGCCTCTCGCCATAGTAGAGTGTAGGTTTTTTCCTGTGACTTGGGGCGTAGGAAGAGTTTTACCGTAGCCCCACGGTGGGCGCCAAAATGTTCCGGCCACGGGGTGCACTAGGGTTTTTCCTAGGTCAAGCCGCAAAGCCAGAGCATTCAAAAAGTGTAATCTGCCTCCTTAGCTCTAGGTCTTTGAGTTTTATAGTGCGTCGTTCATGGGCCTCTTGGGCCTCGAGGATCAAAGGATTTCCTTAACCGTTAATATTTGGAGAATATCTTGTCATTAAAGATGGGATTTTATCCCTGATATCGGAACAGTATCTATGTGGGAGAGTTAGATCGGATTTTGGCCGAGTTACTCCTGCAGAGCAGACAGGTCGGATTCTAACCGAGTGCACCCATGTAGATGGGTTGGATCGGATTCTGACCGGGACGGTACAAATCTAAACCTCGAACCATAAACTTATTCACCAATCATTTTTTTAGTGTACTAAGAAGTCTTTGTAGAATATGAATAGATACCCGCCCAAATGTAAAGAAAAGTCTTCATAGAACAGAAAATGATTCCCTACATCTAAAATAAAACTTACAAAATATATTTATTTTCTCTTAATTTTATTTTATTCATCCCATCTATTTTTTTTATTATCTTTTTCCACCTGTTTATCCAAACCACTAAAAAAATGAAATCAAACGTTCATCACCACTCCTAACGAAAAAATGAATATGAATAATTTTTTTTAGCTGCATAGTAAGAATATTTTCAATCATTCAACACCAAAATTAATTCTTTTTAAAATTAAAAAATTACAAAAATAAACTTTATATTTGAAGCAAATTTTTTTTCTACAGATATAATCAGATAATCAAAGTCTAATAATAAACATTTGGAAAGAATTCAATTATGTACTAACGGTTGAATATCTATCTACTCCACACGCTAGATTTGACCAGCCAACTCTGCGATGGGAAGGAAGTTGGGTTTTTCCTCTGAATCCATTCACAGAGACATATTTCATATGAATTTCTAGATCAGTCATACGTTGATTATAATGGCGACATGGCGACAACAAATTTTCAATCTAAATAAGAATAAGAAATGGCTTTTGTAGAAAGTAGAAAGAAAAAAGAAAATGAGATGATTTGAACGTTTAAGTATAGTCTATGAGGTATGAGGAAGAGAAGGTTGGGTAATTGATTTGCAAAGTGTTGCGACCACGAAACGCGGAGAAAAGATAAGGAAGGTTGTGATGATTCTCTGCTGCTTGATTTCGATGCTGACGATGTTTGAAGACAACATCCTCGGGCAGCACTTGTTTCCTACAAAGAGGGCACGTAGCCTTATATTGCTGCAGCCACGTGTCCAAACAATCCCTATGAAAGGTGTGTTGGCATTTCAACTTCCTGAGCTTCTCCCCTTCCTGGAATTGGCTCAAGCACACCCTACACTCTGCTTGCTCTGCCTTCAATCTCTTGGTGTAGCAAATGGTGGGGTTCTTCTTTTCGATCAGTTTGAGGTATTGGCGTGTCGTAATTGGACCTGACCTTAGTTTCTGAAGCAGGATGATTACTTCTATTACCAAGGATGCCAATAGGATTATCATTTTCCCACAAACCTTGTTCAATAGCTTTGAGAGAGCTGCCATGCCTCAGCCTCAGCCTCAACCTAATGGATTTCTTCTCTCTTACATTTTCCTTCTTTATATTTATATTTATATATATCACATAACACATCATCTTCTGTATTGCCACAATCATTTGTTTAATTAAAATATTAATGCCATATGTTTTAAAATGATACATAGTAGAGATGAAAAACATATTATAAATATATTTATGATTAACCCACAATATTATTTATTATATATTTCTTATGAAAAAATATATTATATGTACTAACAGTGAAAATAATTTTTACATTGCAATTTTATCATGAATAATTATTTACGGTACATTTGTTATATTTTAAAAAAAAAACACTTAAAAAAACATGTTTTGCAATTTTTGATATTGATCGTTAATATATATAAAAACTCTTTTGCCGTTTATTTGTAAATTCAAATTCATTTTTCTCATCATACATAATGCATACGGGTAAAACCTGTCTATTGAATTTGAATTTGGAATTGAATAGTTTGGTCGTAGGAAAATCTAAATATTAAATTCCAAATGGAATATTATAAAATGATTGGAATGGCGTGGCATTCGGAGAACATTTCCTAGAACGGTACGGTTGCTGAGCCAACCATGAATGGTGGAGTATGAGAACTGTAGCAGTCTAATTAAGTGGACCAAATATTTTCTCTGTTTTTCATGCTAAGAATTTGGACAATATTTTTTTTTTTCATTACCAGAATTTGAACGGTATAAATGTTGGAAGAATGACATTTTTGCTTGGAAAACGTAACTTTTACACAAATCCCTCTTCTGACTAAAAAATAAAATACATAAAACATGTTTTTATCTTCTCTGGACTGCCAAATTAAATAATATCTTTTCTTTCTATTTTATTTGATGGTTAAAGTTTCAATTTGAAATTAAAGAAATATAATTAATAAATTTGTTTTCACAAAATAAATATGTTATATATATATATATAAGTATAAAAGAAAAATCAAAGAAGAATGCTGCTTGCGTGGACCTTAATTTTTTGACTTGGGAAGTTGCATTCATTCTTCATCCTTACTCGGAGTCTTGGCAGCCAAAAACGAAAAATAACATAAATCCTACCGTTAACTCTAATTTGGATTTGTATTTTTTTTTTTAACCTAAAGTGTGTGGGGGCACGATGCTTTCTTAATTGGACTTAGTCAGAAGCACTTGAGAATTGAGATTGGTGGCAAGTGGCATTAGTCAACAACTAATGCTCATGCATACAGATTGGTGGCAAGTGGCATTGCTTCTTCATATTTTTCATGCTGTTTGATAAATAATTTATGCAAGAAAAATTCATACTACTTATCGTTAACATGAAATAATTATTCAACTATATATGACATTTTTACAAACTGTGACGGTTCATTTTTATTATTATTTAATTTAGATTTAATTAATCATTAATTAGTTTCTATAATTGTATCAACTTTACTTCATATAGTTTTTTTTTTAAATCTTTAGTCTTTATATGAACGCGATTTTATCTTTATTTTGAGATGATTTTAATTATATTATCAGAAATTTAATAATAGGAACTAAAACATACAAAAATACTTATATATGAAGATTAAAATATAAAAATTTTAATATAAAAACTAAAAAAATAAAAAGACTAAATAATTAATTAAAATTTTAATTTATCGGAGACTAACCTTTATAATATGATGTGTTTTTTGAACAATTGCTTTTTTAGACTAATAAATTTGAAATGAATATTCCTCCTCAGCCTCACTCCCTTTCCCATACTTTAAAAATCCTTCAATTCCTTTCCCTACAAAGTTTTGGTCACAACTCATAAAACGCATTTTTAATTTTCGTCTAAATTATCATAAAAGAAAAAATACCATAAAATTATTTAAAATGATTGCTTCTAAAACTACTTAAATTAGGAGTACGATAGAATTTCTCATAATTTATAGCTAAACTAATAAGAGTTAGTAATGTGATCCGAGACTTATTTACTTTTTTCTCCATTTCTTTCATTATTAAAGTTTTAGAAAAATATAAAGATGATACAGAGTATTATTTATTTCTTTGAAACTATATAAATAATAATAATATATTAAAAATATAAAAAATGAAGAGAATTTTTTTTCCATCTATAAGAGATCGGGATCGTGAGTGAGAACGAAGAGTCATGTTGCCGGTGGCACACATGGCATATAGAAGACCTCTTAAAAACCTATATCTATATTCGGATTAGCCGTAAATGAAGACATAAATCTATTATATTAGAGCATCTCCTTCAGCCAAATAAGCATTCATTACAACAAAATTTATTTTTAAAGACAATTATTTAACGATAATAAATTAATTATTTTTATTTTATTAATTAATAAAAATATTAATAATTAATATATAATAATCACTAAAAATGTATTTATATCATACCAAAATTTATTATTAACGACAATTATTTATTAAAAAAAATTTTAGTCTCATATCGACTAGAAATAAGATAATTAAATAGTATATAAATAGATAATAATTATCACTTTACAAGTTTGTTATGTAGGGCTGAGTTAGACCTATAACTTATTATTTTAAGTTGGTATGAGATTACTCACAATTATCAAACCTAATAGTTCTTAAATTTGAGGGGTTTGACTATTGATAAGATAATTAATATATATATATATATATAAGTAGAAGATAGCCTTCATCTTACAAGTCTCACATATCGACTAGAAATAAAGTAATTAAAGTTATACACTTTTTTCGACCATTATAAGAGTTTTTACCAGCATTTAGAATAATTACCGTTAAATGTTTTAGCAACACAACATACAATGACCAATATGAAAATGTCGGTAAAAGATTTTGTAGCAATTTTTATTGTCACTGAAAGTCTATTTTGTTGTAGTGATTGTTGATTATAGAGGTAGTTTAGCATGTTAACATTTGAGTCCATCAATTTTTTTATTGAATAATAAAAACTTGATAATAATTAATATTAACAAAATATAAGAATATACAGTTATATTTTGGACTCCTTTAGTAATATTTTAAAAATATTTCTATTAATTAGATATATGAATGAGTTGTTTTAAGTTGTAAAAACAAAAATGAGTAATGTACATTAACGATAGGACTTTGAAAAGTAAAAAAATTAAAGAGATTCTGAAACTGATATATATGATCTTAATCAGGGAAATGATTAGTTTGTGTGTGTAGGAAATTATATAATGAGAAGATTTTTTTACGATAGAGTGAGAATATTAGTTCTTATTATGAACAATTAAGAATAAATATATAAAAAAACATTTTAGTAAATATTTTTTTATCACAAAAAATATATTATCATACAATAAATTTATTGCGACTATTATTGAGAGTAATTTGCAAGTCAGTTTATTATACCTAGTCAGTCCATTTGAAAAATTAAAGTAATTAATAAACCATACTTCTTCGTGCTTCATATAATAACAGCAAGGTGTCATTTCCCTTCATGATGTTGTCATGCAAGCCTATTAAGTAGTTAAAAATTTTAACTTAGAAGGAAATAATAAATATATTTAATTATATGTTAGATAGTGGTTCACGTAATAATTTCTCTTGCAAGACACCCATGACAAAAACATGAAACTCACAAGGGACTATCCAAAATAATTAGCAAACAAAGAAGAAGGAACAAAAAGAAGAACAATGAACAACCTTGTCATCATGGACTAAATTACCACACATGGCACCACAACTCTTTTCTCTCTCTTCTTCGTCCGTTGCTGTTGGTACCATCCCCATGCCTGGCAGTGTCACGAGCACCACCACCATGAGTCTCTACTTTCTCCGGCGAACACCATTTTTTTTTTCCGGCAAAGATAGATATATTATAAAGGTACAAGGGTACCAAAAACTCGAATAGAATACCATGTATGCCACTCTTCCTCTATCACTCTTTATCTTCTCGCTTTTCTCTCTGCCCGGACTTCGGTCCCTCATTTTTCTCCATTTCTCGTTCTCTTGACGTGTAACGAGGTCATGTTATCTTCATTGTTGGAGATGCTCCCACATTAAGTAGTGATATAGGTGAGAATTACTTTCTAAAGTCATATTACACATCAATGTAAAATTAAATATTTGCATGTGATTTGATAACATCTCCTTAACCAATGATTTAATAAGCCAACAACATTTATTAGGATAAACATTAATATCATTTTAAAAATGTAAATTTAAGTTTAACTTAAATTTACAAAACTAGCTTTTTAAGATGAGAATTATTCTCTACTCATTTATTTTATTTTAATTATACTATTAGTTGACACAAAATTTTTAACATTCACTATATTCTCCGTATTGCTTTAAACATCTTCAAATTTTACACTTTACTCCTTTTTTTTTTCAAATCATTTTATAATTTAGTGTGACAAAGTAGATCAACCTATCACAACTTATCTTATGCAAGATAGGTTCGTTGACTATTAATAAAAGTTAATTAAAAAACATAACCTAATTAAGTTAGTTCAAAGGATAAAATGACATGTTGACAAATTCAAAAATAAATTAATGACCTATCATGACGAGTCATAAAAATGGTGGGTTATTGAATTAATTCACTAAATTATGAAGAAAAAAAAATATTAATCTCAATACTCATATACTCCTTTATTAAATTTAGTTTTAGTCACATACTAATGTTTAAAAGATATATACTTATAAGTATTCATCTTATTTCATTGTTTACAATTCTCTTGAACTCAACAAATTCAATAAAGAAGAACAATAAATAAACAAAAGTTAAAATGATACTTGATAATGAAATTTCTTGATACAATAAGATTTTAAGAAATAAAATACTTTAATCAATTACCGATATATTCACAAATACAAATTAATCCATTAACATGTAAGTCTAATATAAATTAGTCCTTAAAAATCCTAAATGATATGCTTATATATAAATTGGAACTCATTGAGTAAATTAACTTGCCTCGACCCATCATGTTGACGGATTACATGAGTTAACTTGACGAGTTTCATATTGTTTAACGCTAATTAGCAAAACTATGTTGTCCTATTTTATTTTCTTCTGTAAAATGTA